ATTCATCATAATTCTAACATATGAGAGCTTTTATTTTTCCATTTTCACCAGTGAGGAAACTGAAGTTTAGAGAGGTTAGTCAATCTACCAAAGGCCAAAGAGTTAGTAAATGGTCAAGCTTCAACTCAAATGATATTTCTCCAACATCAGAGATCATGCTTCTAGCAACTCCATTATTCTACCTCCCGCTTCTGCCCCTTTTATCCTGTTTCACTTTATTAATGAAATAAAGACAATGGCCCAGGGCTGTCTGGAAAAGCACCAGGGCTCTTCCAGTTCTTCTACCAGAAGGCCATGTCTGAGCCCCAAGCGCCCTGTCCAGCTCCAGGTGCCTACTGTAGGAGAGTGAGTAAGGAGAGGACACTACAGACAGCGCTGTGGCTCCAGCAACAGCAGGTGACTGCTGGGAAGGAGTCATGAACCACCGGGTTCAACTGTGTGGTCTGTGACAAAGACTCCTGCCAGGGATGTGCAGGAGTGACCAGCTGAATCCACCTGTGCTCTGGGCTAGGTCTCCCAATTCCCAACATTCCATGTTTATAAAAACATGGAATTCTCAGAAAGTTTCAGAAGTTCCCCAAATCATAAGTTATTCCATATTTTTCTAATATTTTCCTTACATGTTTTTAAGTAGTAATGAGTGATCATAATAATAGTGAATCATTTCCATAATAATAAATCATGAATCATTTTTAGTGGCAGAATTATGCTAACGGTTTTGGAGGTTTTCTTTTAAGAAAAACTATTAGACAAAGTATGAGTTTATTATTATTATGAAGCAGTATGTGTGTGCTAGTCAGCTTTTGGTCAGTATAATAAATACTTAACATAATCAACTTATAAAGTGAAAGGTTCATTTTTTAGCTCATGGTTCAGAGGTTTCAGTTCATGCCCGGCGGGTCCTGTGGTGAGACAGCAATGCAAGGCAGAAGCGTGTGGCTGACACAACTGCTTATGTCACTGTCGGGAGGCAAAAGAAAGAAAAGACTGAGTCGCACCATCCCCACCGGGGAACCCACCCCCAGGGACCTGAAGACTTCTGTTTTGGCCTCATCTCTTAACCTTCTTACCATCTTCCAATAGCTTACAGCTGGGACCAAGATATTAACACATGCTTTTTGGAGGAATTCGTGTCCAAACTAGAAATATGGGACACAATTATATATTGCAATAATAATTACATATTAAAAAAATCTCCACCATTCTAGATTCCTTGGTAATAGAAAACACTAAATTAGGGAAGCACTAACACAAAATAACGGCCAAGTAAGAACAATATCAAAAATTGAAAGAGCATATGAAAGTACTTAATATTTATAAAATGCAATTCTTAAAATTAAATTTTAAGGCCAGGAACATAGCTCAGTAGCACAAGCGCCTGCCTGCCAAGCTCAAGGTCCTGAGTTCAATCCCCGGTACCAAAAAAAAAAAAAAATTAAATTTTAAAACACACAAAATATTAACTATCCTATTAAAAAGACTTGATCTTTGGTTTATAACAAATAATCCAAATTTTAAAAAACAAATGTTTCCTTCACTTTGCATTGATACTAGTCAGGTCATTGAGAGGTTTCCCAAAGTGTCACTAAGCTGAGTGTTACTGCTTCACATATATACATACTCTTTATAAAATATAAAAATATTTTGTCATTTATTTTTAATTAAAAGTAGTAATTCTGTACATTATATTCATATAGCATTGTGATATTTTGTTATATATTTACATTGCAGAATGATTGAATCAAGCTAATTAACAAATCAAGAACCTCACATACTTGTAAAACATTCAAAATCTACTCTTTCAGCAATTTTGAAATATGCAATATATTATTGTACATTATAAAATCACCATTCTGTGCAGCAGATCACTAAAGCTTAAGTGCTCCTGTTTTACTGAAATTTTATCTCACTGAAATCAAAGAACCCTTTGATCAAACTCTTGCCTGTCCCCAATCCACCCCCTGGTCCAACCTCTGTAACTACCATTCTACATTCTAGTTCTATGAATTCAATTTCATTTAATATATTATTACTCCAGGTTCATGCATACTGAAGTTCACAAATGAGAGAATTTCCTTCTTTTTGAAACAATAATAGTCCAAAGCCTGTGTACACCACACCTTCCTTATCCATTTGTTCATCCACTGATGAATACTGGGTTGCTGCCATAACTTAGCTAATGTGAACAGTGCTGCATTGCACACGGGAGTGCAGATAGTCCAACATGTGATATGGTTCCTGTCGGGTATATGCCCAATAGTGGTATTTCTGGGCCACGTGATAATTTTATTTTTAGGTTTCTGAAGAACTTCCACATCATTTTTATACTGGCTGTGTTGCCTTATATGTCCACCAACAGCACACAGTGATTCCCTTTCCCAACACTCTCACAGTGCTTGTTATCCTTCAGTGTTTTGACCACACCCATCACAACAGGTGTGAGGCAGTACCTCACTGTGGCGTAGATCGTACTTCACTGATGATTAGTGAAGATGACTGTCCTCCTCATACATTCATTAACCATGTGTATCTTATATGTCTTCTTTTGAGAAATGTCTTTTTAGGTCCTCTGCCAGTTTTTAAATGGGATTCTTTGTTCTCTTGCTGCTGAGTTGAGTTCCTTATATATTTTGGACAGCAGTCCCTCGTCACATCCATGATTTGCAAATGTTTGCCAGATCTATGGGCTGTCTCTCCACTCTGCTGTCTCCCTTGCTGTGCAGAAGCTTTTCAATCTGATTCAGTCTCAAGCTTTTCTTGCTTTGCTGTCATATCCAAGAAATCTTTGCCCAAACCTTTGTCCTGGAGCCTTATTTTTTCTTCTAGTAGTTTTACTAATTTCAGGTGCTATGTTTAAGACTTTAACCTATTTTAGTTGATTTTTGTGTATGAGTCCTATTTCATTTTCTGCATATGGATATCCGGTTTTGACAATACCAGTTATTAAAGACATCATATGTCTTTAGCATTTCTGTCAAACATCAATTGTTTGACAATTGCATAGAATAAATTCTGGGCTCTATCCACCCTGTTCCATCGGTCAGTCTGTCGATTTTTATGCTACCATCATGCTGTTTTGTTTACTATGGATTCATAATAGAATTTCAAGCAGACATAAGCATAAAAAGATTTTATTTGCTTACATTTATTTTGATTTTGCCACCGAAATCAAATTAAGATAATCAGATTTTGGATGAGTTTTGCTAATTTGGATTTTAGATCAGTGACTCATTCACAATAGAATAACTACAATACAATTCACATCTCTACATTTATTTTGTTAAATTTCTTACAAAGAATGAATGGCAATAGAGAAGATATATATAATGAAGTAAATACCCAAACATTGAAAAATGATGGCAAACATTATTGGTTATATCCAAATAATGTCACATTCAGATCTCCTAGCAAGACTGGTAAGGTTAATTGAATCACAGGTTGAAATCAGGAACCACTGGTCCAAATTTCAAATGGAAGAACTTACTTTGCTTCCAAAGTTTCTCATTTCTTGGAACACCACTAACAGGATTTACAGAAAGTATACTATGTACTGAAATATTAAATATTTTTGCAGAAATGATTCGTGTCACCAGCAAAGAAATACATAGAGCATGGGAGCAGCTGTACACAGTGTTGACAGAGTAGACTGTGACCCTCCTCTCTCCTGCTCGTCCCTGTGCTGGTCCCAGAAATGCCCACCCTTGCCTTTGACTGCCATCAGCACTTCCCGGTCCTGCTTCCCATGATGTCAGGAAAGTCTGCCAAACCACTTATAATTACTGAACTTGAATTCTCAAGAGAATTAGAACAGTTGTCCACATTTTCCCAGTTTCTTTACTAATTTCTCGAGATTCAGGAAAATATGTTTTCCTGAGACATGCTGGGAATTCCAGTGGAAGTCCCATCCTTGGAGGGAACATGTTTTCCTTTCAGAAGAAGCTTCAGTTTTCTTAGGCTTACAAGACTGTGCCCATATGGGAGTCTTTTGTAAAATTCATGAAGCATGTGAACAGGCTATATTACATGAGACTGTGAGGTCACCTTCAAAGCATGGAAAAATACCCTTTTGTGGTCTAAAAGTCACATAAACGTCTTCAAATATGCAGAGCCACTAGAAAATGCCTCTGGCTGATTTGACCAAAGATGTGGAAATGCAGAAAAAAGCATGAAGTACATCAAAACAGGATTTTTATATTTTAAGCAACTACAATGTATCAGATGCCATTGCACATTTTTCAAATGTGTTTTCTCATCTTTCATTTCCAATGTTTTATTATTATTATTACTATTATTATTATTACTTGTTACTGTCTGTTTGATCAATCTTACATTCTTACATCTGGTAGACTGAACAACTCCGTTGAAGACAACAGTATGTAATGTAGCAACCATTGTTAATACCTATCATTTTGTTTTGAGGTCATGTATTGTTTCTGTTGTTTTGGGGTTGTTTTGATTTTGCCTTCATTGTTGTTGTTTTTTATCTTTAAAATAAATAAATAAATACATAAATAAATAAAAATAATCCTAAAGAACAGGTATCACTCATTTCATTCTATAGGTTCAACAATTAAAACTCAAAATCATAACTTTTCAATAGCCACCCTGCTAGAAAGCAATACACCTTCAAGTGTAATCTAAGTCCTGCTTCAAAAATCCACGCTCTTCCTATCATACTAGACTGCATATCATAAATGCTGGCTAGCCACAATATCTGCTGTCAGCATGCCCATCTTCTCCTGTCCAGCCAGGAGACTGTGCAGCCTGGCTACTCTATGAGGATTAGAGGATTAATCTTCAAACTGCAGGGTAATAACACCTGCCCTTGTGCTTAGGACTCTTATTTTGGAAAAAACATAAACATAGAGGCAGAACAATATATATGTATATATATAATATAATATGTAATATTAACATATAATAATATGTTTAAATCTTATATATATATATGATTTAAATGAACACAACACATCAAATATAGTGTAAAAGGTCTTTCTTACCTTTAAATATTTCACCAGCTTCTGAATTTGCCAATATTCTGATGGCAAATCTGCATTGGCTTCCTGACGGTGATCAGGTGGTTCTTCATCTTCCTCGCTCTCTGAGGAACTCTCACTAGCCATTTCCTCAACCTTGTCAACACTCTTCCTAAGAATAAGAACAACAAATCTGTTCATTAATCTCCAGGAAGGACACAGTTGCAATGTGATACTTTAGTGACATGTACATAAGCCACAGACAGATATCGATGCCATCTAAGTACTAGGAAGGAGGTGAGGTTTCATGCTTCACTCCAGTTGGTAAAGGCCAATTTGGTCATGTATAAGAATATTATATATATATCTGCTAGAGCAGGCATACAAATAAAGTTATACAAAGAGATATGCTCCAAAATAGTATAGAAAAATCAAAGTGGAATTCTACAAAGTGTTCAAGTAATTACAGAAAGATGTGAAAGAAAAGATTAAAAAGTAGAACAAGTAGACTGACTACCTCAACCTCCTCCTGAGTGTTGGGATTATAGGACTGTGCCACCACGCCTGTCTTAAGGAAAGAATTACTGATTTCCTTTTGCCTCTGGTTCTCTCCCAAAATGGGCTTTATGGTAGTGCATATTTCAAGGTTGCTGGACAAATAAAAAACATTAAGATTAAGAATCAGGGCCTAGCTGGGCGTGGGGTACACACCTGTAATCCCAGCACTTGATAAACTGAAGGCAGGAGGATCATTGAGTTCCTTGCCAACCTGGGGCAATATAGTGAGTTCAATGCCAATCTGCACTATAAAGTGAGGCCCATTTCAAAAAAATCATGGACCTGGTGTACTCAGAGTTAGCAGATGAATACCTTTTTCTCTCTGGGTTCAAGAAACCAAAATAAACAACAACAATTAAAAAAATATAATGAGTGGCAGCTTTAGACCCTAAAATATTAATAATTACACTAAAGACAAATGACCTAAACACGCAAATCAGAAGACATTTTGACTTAGTGGATTTTAAAGAGAGAGGTGTCCATTACATACTATCTATAAGAAACTCAATTCAAATATAACAGTATGGGTATTTGCAAATAAAATCAGGAGAAATACATACTACACAAACATTAATCTGAAGAAAACAGAAGTTCTCATATCAATTTCATGTTAAGTAGATGTCCCAAGGAAAATAAGCAGTAACAGTGAGACTTTATATACTGATAAAACACTAGCCCTTAAGGGAGACAAGTACTCCTAACTCTAAGAATACCAGACAACTGAAAGATACATGAAGTAAAAATAGAAATAAAAGGAAAAAATAGAAAACTCTACAGTGATAGTTGGGGGTTTCAACACTCCCTCTCTCAATTTTTGGTAGAATAACTAGAAAGAAAATAAGCAAGGATATAAAAAAAGTCAACATCTTCATACAGCATACTGTAGATCTGCTAATATGCAGCTTGCTTTGTCTATGGTTTGAGTTAACCATAGTCAACCACAGCCCAAAGTATTAAAATGGGAAGTTTCAGAAATAAAGAATTTATAAGTTTTAAATTATACCATTCTGAGTAGTATGATAAATAAAATCTCCTGTCCCTCTCCCCATTCAGGCTGAAGCGTGAATCATCCCTTTGTCCTCCATATCCAATCTGTATCACTGCCCATCTGTTAGTTACTTAGTAGTCATCCCATTACCAGATCCACTGTCACCATATCACAGTGCAGTGTTCAACCAGCCCTTATATGGTAGCATAACCCTGTGATAACATCCATGTCCTTCACCTCACTTCATATCACTGCACAAGCATTGTATCATTTCATATCATCAGAAGGCGGGTGAGTTCATATAGTAAGATATGTTAGGAGAGAGAAAGAGACAACATTGACAAAACTTTTATTACTGCATCATTAAAATGACTATATTTCATTATTAGTCACTGTTAATCTCCTGCTGTGCCTAGTTTAGAAACTGTATCATAGGTTTGTATACAAAAGAAACAGTATATATGTCTAGGGCTTAGTACTATTTGTGGTTTCCAGCCTCCAACAGGGGTATTAGGAACACATCTGCAGAAAAAGGAAGACTACTGTCGTTTAACACACATGTACAGAGTGCTCCACCCAACAAAAGTAGGATACATATTCTTTTTAAACATCTAAAGAACCTATAACAAGATCTCCTGGGCCATAAAAATGTCAACAGCTTTTAAAGAACTGAAATTATATAGAGTATGTTTACTGACCCATGGAATCAAACTGAAAATCAGTAACAGAAACATAGCAGGAAAATCTCCAAATACCGGGAAAATGGACAGCATACTTTCAAATAATCGAAAGATGAAAGAGAAAGTCTTAAGGGAAATTTGTAAAATACACTAAACAAAATGAAAATGTAATATATCATAAGCTGTACTTTCTCAGCTAACACAGCTCAAGAAGGGCAATACATAGCATGAAATAATTACACTACAGAAGCTTCAACCCAGCCATCTGAAGAAACGAGAAGCAAAAACAATTAGGAAAATGAAGAGCAAAGTAAATCCAAAGTGAACAGAATGCCACAAAGCCTAGAAGAACTAATGGCAATTGTTCACAATCTGTTCTAGGTAACAGAAAACAATGGAAGAGAAAAGATCATGAGAGCATGCTCATCTCTAACCAACTGAGGCAACTGAGTAACACTACACTATCTATTGTGTAGATAACACTACACAAACTATCAATAGATAATAGTAGCAATACCAAGTGCAGGCAAAAGTGAGAAGGAAAAATCTCAAATATTGCTGGTAAGAATGGAAAATGGCACAGCCACTCTGGAAAAGTTTAGCAGTTTTTAAAAAGCTAAACATAATTCCCATGTGTCAGTCATCAGGCATTTATCCAAGAGAAATAATTTACATCTACAAAAGCCTGTGTGTGATTGTTCATATGAGCATCGTTTGTAATGGTTAAAAACTGCAAACAATTAAAATGTTCTTCAGTAGGTGAATGATTAAACAAAGCTTGGTATATCTGTACCATGCAACACTACTGAGTAATAAAAAGCCACCAACTTTGCTGAAATATGCACAACTTTGATGTAAAGAGTATTAGGATGATGAAAAAGAGATCAATATCAAAGGTGGATGATTCCATTTATATGCCATTCTCCACATGCTAGAAGTTATGGTTGGTGAGGGACTGGAGTAGTATGACTGGAAAGGGCTAGCAGGAGTTCCATGTGGTGACAGAACAGTTCGTGCCCTGATTGCTTGGCTCATTACACAAATCACACCAAACTACTGATGTTAACCTCCTGGTGTCATTATAGTTATATAACCACCAGGGAAACTAGGTGAAGGATATAGAGGACTGCTCTGCACTCTCTTTGTAACTTCTTACCTACCTAAATTATTTCCCCCAAAAGCTTTAAAATTAATTCTTAAACAAATTGAATAATTTATTACAGCAAATCAAAAAAGTAAAAGTATAAATATAGCATAGTGTGTTAAAAGTTTGGCGTGTTTTTCCTCCAAGTGTACAAACTATTATGTGTGGGATTTCTGCCATTTCCTTCCAATACCACTCTGAAACTCACTAATAAAAGTGGATGACCCTTCTCCTTCAGTTCTGTCATCAAACTGAAAATCAGGTGAGAACTTTAGTACGTGGCTTTGTATTGGTCATCATTAAATGTTTAATTAGAAATGAAATATGTCACTATAGAATTGAAAAAGTCATCAGCAAAAAGAAACCCAGGCAGGTGACAAAACTTCACTAGGACACAATTGTTCAGAATTAAAAGGTAAGGTGTGCAGCCCAGTATTCCTGATACTTAGTTCCCCGATCTTTGCATTAAATATATTTCTTTTCCTAGACTCAACTAATTGTCAATCCTTGTATTTGAGTAATTGCATTAGAAAGAGGTCTTTAAGTATACTTAAAGAAATCCAGGATTATAATTTTTACTAATATGCCAGTAACTGCCATATGTCAGTAAATATCTTAGGATCCTAACCTAATAGTAAGAAAGCTACTAATTGGCACACTAACTCATCCATCGGGGGGGTGATTTTAAGGGCGTGATTTTAAGGACCTAGTCATGCCGCCAGAAACATACCGGAGTAACTGTGCTCTTCCAGGTGAGATAGATGTTCTGGTCTTTTCAAGCTTGCCCCCATGTTTTTCTTCTTGGCTATCCTTTGCTGGGGTTTTGCGGCTAAAAAAGAAAATATGAGCTTTACTACTTTATATTGATGAACAGGAAATAAAATCTGGTCTATCACTTGCATATACTCGAATAATGTGTGTTGTGAACTCAGAGAATGACAAGTTCCAGTTTCATCTTACACTTACAGATGCCCCTTTGCTCTTCAAGCACAGCCACGCACAGGGAGGAAATGTTTTGTTCAGTACTTCTTTGCCATCACTGTGTGAGTCCATCACTCTGCACTTTCCCCTCTGGGTGCTCACTGGTCTCCATTATGGTTTCCTGTGGCTTCTTATGTCCTCCCAACACTGCAGCAGGCCTGTATCCCAGGCTTCCCTAGGCTTCCCACAGTCCTCGGTACCTACTCTACTCTCATTAAACACTTGTGAAGGAAATGCATATTTGAAAGAACAGGTGCAAAGAAGAGTATGCTAAAACTCTCTTCCTAGTTAACAGAGTTACTCATCTGGTTTTCACTGTTAGGCTCTTTCAGAGTTGCAAAGGTCAAACACATAAGATCAATAATGATCAGAAGGACAAAAGCATCTTCTCTCTCTACAGAACACCTTCCTGGCAGCTGTCTGGATTTACTTCCAAGTCACAATCACCATGTGGTTTTCAGAATCCCTGTGGGGGAGGATACCACTGAGATTGAGACTAACCATGAGCCAGTTATTTAACCCAACCATGTGATACTGTAGAACATTAAATACAATGGATTTGCTGATCATGGATTGAAACCTCCAAAACCATGAGCCAAAATGAACCTTTTCTTTCTGTAAGTTACTTATCTCAGGTATTTTGTCATAGTAACAGAAAGCTAGCATAATGGTATTATGGCTTGTGTCTAGATATCCCTCCAAAGCCTAATGCAGTCATAGGTGGGGCTTCTTCAGAGGTAGCTGGATCTAAAGTGTGTGATGCTAGAGTTTTTTCTTGGTGCAGTGTTAGGGTCAAGGGCACTAGGATTAAGGTTGTGAATGCTACCAGCCCTAAGTAGTCAAGGATAAGATAAAAGGGGAAGGAAGACACAGCTAAGGCCTCTGGTTGCTTTTGTTATCTTCTGATTGCCATGAATTGGTTTTCTTCTGTGTTTTCCCTCTGCCACACCACCCTGCTGTCTTGGAGCCAGCCAATTGTGGCCTGAAACCTTTACAAACTGTGAGCTAAATAAACTCATCCTCTTTTAACTTTGGGTGTCAGGTATTTTGTCTCAGCAATGAGAGAAAAATAACTAAGAGAACTGATACCAGAGAAGTGGGGTCTTTACAGTAACTGCACCTGACCATGCGGTTCAGGAGCCTTTGGGACTGGTTGTGGGAAGGGTTTACAAAGGTTCAGAGATGTCAGCTGAAAAAGTACAACTGGAACACCTCAGGCTGTTCTACATGGGAGATTCTTGTCAGAGCTCAGAATACCAGAAGACTGATAGAAATCCTGCCAGTAAAGACCTGGATGAGGAGGTTTCTGCTGGGAAAAATGACTGCATTGGCTGTTGGACTACAGACAATTGTGTTATACCTTGGCAGAAAGTTTTCCTGCATTTTCTTCATGTCCAGAGACTTTGCCTGAGACTGAGATTAAGGGTAGTAGGCTAATTAATCTTGCAGAAGAAATTCCAAGACAGTCTAATGTTGTTGAGGTGGTGGCATGGCTACTGTTGGGAGCTTTTAGCCAGATTTATGTTGAGAATCAAGAGCAAAGAACCCAGCAGAATGATTTAAAATGTGAGTTTGGCCAGAAAAGAAGCTCCAGTAAAGATGTGGACTGCAAAGGTAGAGCAGAGGAGATCCTGATTGCTGAGAAGCAACAAGAAAATAGGAAAGATGGCCTGAGGGCATCACAAGAAGCAGCAGGACTCCAAATGGCAAAAGTAAAAGACTTTGCTTTGAGAAGAGAGCCATAGACCACTATGTTCCAGAATGTGATGGTCTAGCAAAATTTTTCCTCTGGATTTTGTTCAGATCCAATCAACCTCTACAGCCAAGACAGAAGAAAGCCTGGCTATTGCTCCAGCTGGTGGCAGACTTTGGTGTCATCCACATGGTGCTGGTTTTAGGAACATGCAAAATGCAAGAACTGTGGAGTCAGGAAGGTTTCCACTCACATTTCAGAAGAAGGCCTGGGAAGCCAGGCAGTGTATCCATGAGGGGCCAGTGTGTGAAGCTGTGAATGTGAAGTTGAAGGTGCAGTGGAGACACCAGAAGTTTGGAGAAGCTAAGAAAATGGATCATCTGAGGAAAACTGCAAGGAGGAACCAGAGCCAGCCCCAGAGAGAAGCCATGGGAACTACAACCACAGGCAGTACCATAGGGGCAGAGCCACCCAAGCCCTTTGGCATTCGCAATTTGCCACAGATTGCTGGGGATCCTGGAAGTAGAACTAGGGAATTTAATATTTGCTCTGATGGATTTTGGACTTGCTTTGGTCCCATTCCTTTGTATTTCCTGCTTGTAACTTTTGGAATGGAGATGTTTATTTTGTGCTATTGAATGCTGAAAGTGTTTATCTTTCTTTACATTTGTTCAGGGATTTGAAGCTAAGAGTCTGCCTTAAATTTCAGAGGAGAATTTGAACTCAGACCTTTCAGCAATGCTGAAACTGTTAGAACTTTGGCAATTCTTATGAATGGATTAAATGCCTTTTGTATAACAAGATGTGTATGAGTCTTTGGGGGGCCAGTGGTGGAATTTTATGGCTTGTGTCCAGAGGTCCCCCCAAAGCTTCATGCAGTCATAGGTGGGGCTTCTTCAGAGGTGACTGGATCTAGATTGTGTGATGCTGGGGTTGATTCATGGTGAAATGTTAGGGTCAAGGGCACTAGGATTAAGGTTGTGAGTGCTAACTACCCTAAGTAGCCTGGATAAGATAAAAGGGGCAGACAGATGCTGTTAAGGCCTCTTGCTACTTTGGCTATTTTCTGCTTACCATGAACTGGTTTTCCTCTATGTTTCCCTTCTGCCATGCCAGCCTGCCTTGGAATCAGCCAAGTATGGCCTGAAGCCTCTATAAACTGTGAGCTAAATAAACCTTCCCTCACTTTGCATGTCAGGTATTTTGTCTCAGCAATGAGAGAAAATGACTAAGATACAGTGGTGTAGGTGACTTTGACTGCCTCAACATCTAAGTAGCACTGGCTCTTGATCTTTGCTTTGACACCTAATTATTGAAGGTTCCAAATGGAATGAGTTTTGTCGTAAACTATAAACCAGTGATGGCAAACCTGTTAGAGCCTGAGTGCCAAACTGCAGCCCCAAACCCTCTTATTTATCACTAAGTGCCAACACTGCAATGAAAGCTGAATCTTGAGCTTTTATAAAAAACTCATACATTAAAATCTTTTGTCTTAAAAGGAAAGCACAATAACATGTATGTTATAGGTTCAGTGCCACTGCTATAAACCAAGTGTCCACTTTACATGTCAGTTAACATATTGAGACTCTATAGCCTTTTTATAGTATTGAAGTCTTATAGAAGACCATCACTATGAAGGATCCCCCGCTTAACTCCATACAATTTTAATTATTCCAAATTCTTCCAGCCCAAGCTGAATCAGGTCCTCATCTGTAAATTCACATTTTCCATGCTATTTTATCATCTTTTTCATGGGTTATTTGTCTTGACTCACAAGCTACACAAAAGTGAATTATATTCTTCCTGTCTCTTCATAGTGCACCGGATACAAACCTGATTGTTGTCAAATATTTCCACTTGGAATATAAAGAGGAGGGAGAGTATCACCTTGTACTATGGTAAGATACATATATATCTACTTTGTATTCTTCTACTGTGAAATAAAGTTCCAGGAAAAAAATAGGAAACATGTAGCAACTGAATATGCCTAAGAAAACCCATCAAAAAATATCTACATACTCTTTGAAGTCAACAGTGGTCCTCCAGTTTAAGCTTGGCTCCAATCTCCTGGTCATTTGATTCTTTCTAAAGTTAATTTGGTTCTTCTCCAGTTTATTCTTGTCTGAACCAGATACACTTTTACGGATGGCATATGTTGGTACCTCATCAATCTGATTCTTTTGTTGCTCTTCATTGAATCTAATATCCTTTATAAAAAATAAATTTTACAGTGATAGCACCTCTGGATTACCTAGTACTATCTGTAGATTTACACTTTTAAGAAATCTAGGACAGGAGGTCTCAGATGCTTACCAACACAAATTGAATAAGGGTCACTGCAAGACCAAGGCAACAAATAGGCAGACAGCAATGTGCTAAACTCACAGCATGACATTCTCTAAACTCACAGCACACACTCAAACAGCAGGGTTGGACCTACTCACTCATCACCCCTAGAGAAAAATGAAACACAATGCCTGTATGGACTAGAACATGCCATCCAACAACATCTATCAAGAAAGAAACACTATGAGTTCTTCACAAAGAATTAAAAGTACTGGAATACTTCCCACACATATTATGAGGTGACACAGCCCACATACCAAAACCAGACAAAGACATTAAGAGATAGATAGTGAACCTATGGCACACATGCTACAGTGGGCACACAGAGCCCTCTCTGTTGGCATGTAAGCCCAGGTGCCCTAGTATCACCGTAGCAGCCAAGCATTGGATACAGTGCACATGGGGGCAGTGTTAGCACTTTGCAATAAATAACTGGGTTTTGGGTTGCAGTTGGGTACTCAGTCTCTAAAACGTTTGTCATCATTCCATTAAGAGATTGTTGGGGGAGGGAGTGTTAATGGGGAAAAGGGATGGTAAGTTACACTTTGATGGCAGCATGAAGCTCTGAGGTGTTATTGCACACTAGGGTGACCACAGATGACAATAATATACCATGCATTTCCAAAAGCTATAAGAAAGGATTATGAAAGTCTTTGCCATAAAGAAGTGATAACTTTTAAGTAGATATGATTAACCTGATTTAAACATTATGTAATATATACATATATTGAAACATTATATGGTATCCTGTTAATATGTACAATTTTGTGTATCAATTAAAAATAAACTTTGTAAAAATGAAAGGAAAACACCACCTTTTAGATTTTGTTTGTTTTTTTTGTTGTTGTTGTTTTTCTATTTTTCTTCCAGTACCAGGAATCGAACTCACAAACTTGCGCTTGCCAGGCAGGCATTTTTGCCACTGAGCTAAATCCCGAGCCCCAAACACCACCTTTTAAAACAGATAACTGCTAACACAAATCTTTCACAGATATAGAGGCAAAAACACTCAGAAAAATATTACCTATATAGAGACAGATCTATTCCAGAATTCAATATAAGGTCAATATTTGAAGATCAAGGTTATTTGAAGATCAAGGTTATCATCACACCAAAAAACTAAAGAGAAATCACATGATCATCTCAACACATCCAATAAAATTACATCTTTCCAGCATAATGGGTTCCCCTGTTGTGATGTCAATGGAGGCTCCCTAGGAAGTGTATAGCAAGGCATTCTACCCACCCAGAGAGGGATGTGTCAGCAGCAGGGGAGACTGAACTTTCAATCCCATCTAGTGGTCATGAAGCACCCCATATCACCAGAGATGCAATGGAGATTAAATGGGGAACATTTACTTTTACTCTCATCTTGCAGTATCCCCTGGATTTCCATCAGTGAGGTGTCAGAAAGGCCTTGTTAAAAGAGCCAAATAAAATCCAGAGTTTCACAGCATAATGCCCTGAATGCCCAAAACAATTAAAAAAAAAATCACCGTTCATAAAATCAGGAAGGAAAATTACAACTTCAATGAGAAAGGATGATGGACAGATATGTACACTAAGATAAAACAGATGTTGGAACAATCTGAGAAGATTTTAAAGCAACCATCATAAAAGTACTCCACAGACCAAATATGAAGACTTGAAAAGTGAAAAAGTAGTCAGTTTCAACAAACAGAATGTTTCAGCAAATAAACAGTATAAAAATAATACAATACAAATTATGAAAATAAAACTTATGAGCCAAAATAAAAACTCATCAGGTAGGCTAAACATGAGAGAGATGACAGAGAAGAAAAATGCATGACTTTGAAGACAGAACAAGAGAAATTAGCCAATGTGAACAAAGATTTTTTAAAAGACGGACAGAGAAAATCCTCAAAATGTAACTGCCCCACAACAAAATTTTAACATTCACAATATCAGAACACCAGGAGAGGGGAAAGAGGGCTGCACTGATAATGTATTGTAAAAATGCCTTAAGTTCCCCAAAACTTGGAAAAAGACATAAGCCTGACATTCCAGAAGCTAAGACAACCCTAAACCAAATAAATTCAAAGAAATCCTAGCCAAGATACATAATAAATACCATAAAATCAAAGAAAAAGAAAATGTATGCAAGCAGTGAGAAATGATACTTTATAAGGGAAAAACAATTGAAATAATGGCAGATTTCTTATGAGACAGCATAGAGGCCGGAGGAATTAGAACACTTTTCAACTGACAAATAAAGAACTGTCAACCCGGAATAGTGTACCCAGTGGAAATGTTCTTTAGGAATAAAAAGGAAATGAAAGTGGCTGGGGATTTAGCTCAGCGACAAAAGCGCCTGCCTGGCAAACACAAGGTCGTGAGTTTAATTCCCGGTACCGGAGAAAAGAAAAAAAAAAAAGAGGAAATGAAGACATAGGAAAACTAAAAAAATTGTTACCAACAGGCCTACCTAAAAGAATAGCTAAAAGAAGTCCTTTTTACAAAATCAAAAAGGAAGAAAAGAACATTGGAAGGAGGAAAAGCATGAGTTAATAAAGGACTTTCTCCTCTTGAGTTTTCTGAATGATGTTGCACTGTCATATAATTTTCAATGTATGCAGAGAAAGTAAAACCAATTAAAGTCGGAGAGAATAGGGCTCGCTCCCTGCCTCATAGGCGCCCAGAAGGAGGGGCCCAGGTGCACGGGGAGCCACAGGCGCAGAGCGCCCATCTTCCGACCGGCTGGCTCCCTGTCTCGTAGGTGCCCGGAAGGAGGGCCCCCGGCGCAGGGAGAGCCATGCGGTGGCCAGCGCTGTTGTGCGCCGGCCCTGAGGCCGGCCGCCACCACTCAATTGAGAACTACCATGACATAGACAAACAATGACACAATTGGCCCACCGTGCACCGGCTGCAGAGGCCCACCCACGGACGTGTGTGAATCATTCAAACATGGAGAAACCTCTGAGAATACATGCCATACAACGGGGCACTCTTGCTCCTGCCATTGAGAACCAGAAAGGTCCAGAG